CTTCCCTTCCCTTCCCTTCCCTTCTCTTCCCTTCCCTTCCCCTTCCCACCTCTTTTTGTCCCCCCACGAGCCCTTCAGTCCCCATCAGAGGTGACCAAGTGACTCTCCCCCCTGTCTCAGGGCCTGCCTGGCATCGATGGCAAGGATGGCACCCCGGGTATCCCGGGGGTGAAGGTGAGCAGGGGCAGGTGCTGCCTGTGCTGGCACAGGGCACGGACACACCCCATTCCTCGTGCTGGGAATAACAGGGATGGCAGGTGGGATAAGCTCCCAGCCCCTGGCTGCACTGCTGGCTGGTGGAGTGTACAAGGGCACAGTGGGGCAGTGCCACCCTTTGCCCCACCCGTGACACCCTCTGTGTCCCTGCCAGGGCAGTGTGGGACAGGCCGGACGCCCAGGAGCGCCGGGACACCGGGGACAAGCTGTGAGTGTTGTGGGGACCCCCCAAAACTGGGCTGGCACCCCCTCACCCGTGGGGTGACACCCCTATCCCAGGTGGTGCCAGGGCCAGTGCCCAGTAGGGACATTGTGCCCAGGGTTTGAGCCCAGCTTCTTTTCCCCAGGGCTTGCCAGGCCAGCCGGGAAGCAAAGGTGGCCCGGGAGACAAGGTGGGTGACCCCCCCTGAGCACCCACCCCGTGACCCCACAGCTGCTGTGCCCTCAGCCTTGTCCCCACGCTGTCCCTGAGCCACCCCTGCTGTCCCTGAGCCTCCTCTGTCTCCCTGCAGGGTGAAGTGGGTGCCCGTGGCCAGCCTGGTGTCACCGGTGCCCCAGGGCAGCTTGTAAGTACAGAATGTCACCATGGCCCCCCGGGGACAAAATCTCTCTTTTTCTCTCTCTTTTTCTCTCTCTTTTTCTCTCTCTTTTTCTCTCTCTTTTTATCTCTTTTTCTCTCTTTTTCTCTCTCTTTTTCTCCCTCTTTTTCCTCTCCCCCTCTCTCTTTTCCCTGTTTCCAGCCAAACCAAAAGCATTACTGGGCAGTTTTATCCCCCCTCTGCCCCTCACTGCTCCAGCCCTCTGTCCATCACCTCCTCGGCCACCAGTGGCTGCAGGGGGCACGGGCACATCCCTGGGGAAGGATGTAATGCCCAGGGATGCCCGAGAAGTGCCCTGGGATGCCCTAGAAGTGCCCTGGGATGCCCCAGAAGTGCCCTGGGTGTTTTTGTGTCTCTGTTTCAGGGGGAGCCCGGCCCTCGGGGCGAGCAGGGCCCAGAGGGTGTCCCTGGGCTGAAGGTGAGTGGGGGGCACTGTTGGGGGGGGCTCTGGCCATGCCAGGAGCTGCCCCTGACTGTGCCCTTCTCTCTGGTGTCCACAGGGCGACCGGGGCGAGCGTGGCCTCGTGGGGCCCCCGGGGGAGCAGGGCAGAGTGGTGAGTTGTGCCCAGGGCAGGGTTGGGCACTGGGGGGGCTCAGTTTGGGGGTCTGGGGGTGCTGAGCCCTGAGGGGTCACTGGGGCACAGCTGGACCCTGCCTTTGATCCAGCCTGGGCTCAATCCCGTGCCCATCCCGCTGGGTCTGCCTGCCCCAGGGGGAGGGATTAACCCGGGGCAAACAGCTCAGGGATTAGTGGGACCACGCTGGGTTTGCAGCCCCGGCAGGGACAGGAATTTCCTCCCAGCCCAGCGAGGCAGGGGGAGGCTGCCTGGGCCCTCTGGGAGGCGGAAAAATGGCCCCAAAATGACCTTTGTCCCTTTTCCCGGGGACAGGATCCCATCCCTGGAGGATTGTCCCTCTTGGCACAGCCTGGGGGGAGGCTCCTCCATCATTCTCTGCCCTGTTCCCTCTCTGAACCTGGATTCAGGGGAGGTTGGGATGCTGGGGGGGCAACCAGAGCCACTGGAGGGAATTGGGAGCTGCTCATGCAACCCATGGCCTTGGGGAGGATGCTCTGATGGGGGAGGAAGGTCTTCCCCTTGCCTCTTCCCACTTGTTTTTCCCTTTTCCCCCGTGTTCCCTCGATTCCCAGGGGCCGAAGGGCGAGCAGGGCCATCCAGGGATCCCAGGACCCCAAGGCTTGCCGGGAGTCAAAGGAGACAAGGTGAGTGCTCTGCCTGCTCAGGGCAGAGCTGGAGCTCAGGGAACGTGCCCTGGGCTGGGCTGAGCCCCCTCTCCTTTCTCCAGGGCTCCCCAGGGAAAACTGGCCCCAAAGGCAGCGTTGTGAGTACATCCATCCCCCCCCTGCCCGGACTGAGCCCGTGTTTGACCCACCAAGCACCTTCTCCACAATTCCCTCACATCCCCACGGGAATTCACCCGTGTCCAAAGGGGGGTTCTCCTGCAGAGGGGGTGGCTCCTGGTGGGGAAGGTTCATCTCTGCTGTCGCTTTTCCTCTAGGGAGACCCCGGTGTCCACGGCCTCGCGGGGCTGAAGGGAGAGAAGGTGGGTCCTGGCAGAGGGTTCCTGGCGTGGGGTGGGGGGACACGGGGTGGAGGAGGGTCCCTGTCCCTGTGGGGTCTCCAGCACACCCCAGGGGTGTCCACGTGCATCCCCCCAAGCTGCCTCTCCAGGGTGCTGCTCCCTCCCCATCGCCTTCCCTGTGCCCTCTGTCCCCACAGGGTGAATCCGGAGAGCCGGGACCAAAGGGACAGGTGAGTCCCGGGGGGGTTTGGGGCCAGGGGGGCTCAGAGGGACCCTCAGCCCCAGCTGATCCTCCTGGTGCTCCCTGGAGCTGCTGGGTGCTGCACACGGGTGGCCTGAGGGGGTATTTTCCCTGGAGCTGGGCTGCAGTGACCATGCTCAGCCCTGGATCAGGGCTCAGTGGTCCATATGGGGGATCTTTGGGGTCTCGGGGTGCACCCCCTGTGCCCAGGACGGGGCTGAGCTCCTGAAGCCTCTCTCCCTCCCTTGCAGCAAGGCATCCAGGGTGACCTGGGCTTCCCTGGCCCCTCGGGGGACGCAGGAGCACCGGGGGTGAGGGGCTACCCAGGCCCCCCCGGCCCACGGGGGCTGGTGGGGGAGCGTGGAGTGCCAGGGATGCCCGGCCAGAGGGGCCTGGCGGTGAGTACCCCCCTCCCCACACCCTCCTCACCTCCTGCCACCACCAGCTCCCCCAGTCCTGCAGGGGAATTGGCCTCTGAACCTTTTCTTCCCACCTGATTCCTCTGGGAAGTGGCCACTGTTCCACTCAGGGGCTGCCTGATTGATATATTGATATATTTATAATATAAAATAATATAATATTTATAATATTATTAGATAAAATTGTATATAATTATATAATTATATATGATAATTATATAAAATATATAATTATTATATATTATATAAGAATATATAATATATATAATTATCATATATAATTATATAATTATATATAATAATTATATAATTATATATAATAATTATATGTAATGTATAATTATTATATAATTGTTACATATTATATAATAATATATAATCTATAATAATATAGAATATATATAATTATCATATATAACTATATAATTATCATATATAATAATTATATACTATGTTATATACTATAATATATATTATTAAAAATATTTATAATATTTATAATAAAATAATACAATATAATATTTAAAATATAAAATAAATATTGATACATTTATAATATAAATCTATTATATTATCATGATCGTAATCATAATTATATATATTATATAATATATTAATAATATATGTAAATACATATAAACCATCCAGCAGCAGGTTTAGCTCCAACGTGGCCTTTGCAGCCTTCCTGGGTTTGGGATTTTTCTGTATAAACCTCATTTTAGGCTCAAAAACGTGGCTGCAGGAGGTTAATGCCACGAGGCACGGTGTGAGCTGAGGCTGGAGCACTTGGGCTGGGACAGGATGGAAAAGAGAAGGGTGGGAAGGTGCCGTGGGGTGCAGGGGGGAGCTCTGGATCAGGGGATCGGGATGGGAATGGCTCTGTGGGAGCAGATGGGGGCAGGAGGAGCGATGGCCCTTCATGGCCCGTCCCTCCTGTGCCCCGGCAGGGCCGGGACGCCGGGGACCAGCACATCGTTGACGTGGTGCTGAAGATGCTGCAAGGTGAGGGGGGAGCAGGGCACTGCCAGGCAGGTGGCAGCCATGCCATGCCATCCCACCCCATCTCATCCCATCCCATCCCATCCCACCCATCCCATTCCATCCCACCCTTCCCATTCTATTCCACCCCATCTCATCCCATCCCATCTCATCCCATCCCATCCCATCCCATCCCATCCCATCCCATCCCATCCCATCCCATCCCATCCCACCCCATCCCATCCCATCCCATTCCACCCCACCCCACCCCACACTGGCCTCTCTCTGCCCCACAGAGCAGCTGGCAGAGGTCGCCGTCAGTGCCAAGAGAGCTGCCCTGGGGGGAGTCGGTGCCATGGGACCCCCTGGGCCCCCTGGTCCCCCAGGGCCTCCCGGTGAGCAGGGCCCACACGGCCCCATGGGACCCCGAGGTGTCCCTGGGATCCTGGGAGCCCCCGGGCAGATCGGGAACGTGGGACCTAAAGGTGGGTCCCAAACTCCTCCTCGGGGCTGGTCCTGCCTCCTCTGCCCCCTCCCCTCCCCTCCCATCCACTGCCTGTTATTCCCGTGGCTCCATCAATTCCTTCCCTCCCTGTCTCTTTCCACAGGGAAGCGAGGAGAGAAGGGTGAGCGGGGGGAAGTTGGCCGCGGCCACCCGGGAATGCCGGGTCCTCCAGGGATCCCAGGTGAGACCCTCTGTCCCCTTGCTGGTGGGATGCTGAGCCCAGGAGTGGTTCAGGACCTTCTGATCCATCCTGCAAAACCAGCCCAGGTCCATCCCATAAACCTCCTCCCTTCACCATCCTTTTCTCCCTCCTCCCTCCCTGTTTGTGGGGTCATCCTGGAAAGGGCTAAATCCCACCCCAGGAAGACCCTTTTCTCCCTCCTCCCTCCCCTTTGCTGCACAGCAAAGCATTTTGCCATATGGATATTTATCTCCTCAACAGGAAAAGGGGGGAATGGATTCAAACTGGGAAAAAAAGTAGGTTTGGGTGGGATATTGGGAAAAAATCCCTCCCTGTGAGGCTGTGAGGAGGCCCTGGCACAGGTTGTCCAGAGAAGCTGTGGCTGCCCCTGGATCCCTGGGAGTGTCCAAGGTGAGGTTGGAGCAACCTGGGCTAGTGGAAGGTGTCCCTGCCCATGGCAGGGGGTGGAACGAGATGATCCTTAATATCATATTGGATATGATGGGTTGGAGATACTGGTTGGAGATATTGGTTGGAGATATTGGTTGGAGATATCGGTTGGAGATATCCCTTCCAACCCAAGCCATTCCATGATTCTCCAAGTGTCCTCCCCCCACCCCTTTCCTGCTCCCCCTATTTCCCTCTTACTCTGCCAACACATCCCCATTCCCCCCCTCAGTGTTTCCCCAATCCCAGCCCCTCCTTCCCAGGGCTCAGCACCCCCAGACCCCCCAAATCCCGTTCCCATTCCAGGTCTCCCCGGCATTCCCGGCCATGCTCTGGATGGCAAAGCGGGCGAGCGGGGCCTGCCGGGCGCCCCGGGAGAGGCTGGAAAACCGGGATTACCCGGTCCCACGGGATTGCCCGGGTTCTGTGAGCCAGCTGCCTGCCTGGGAGCCTCTGCCTATGCCGCTGCCCGCCTGGCAGAGCCGGGCACCGTCAAGGGCCCCCTGTACTGAGGGGCAGCACCAGCCCAGAGACCACGACACTGCAAACCCCCAGGGAGACACCTCCAGCCCTCCCAGGAGCAGCCAGAGTGGGAAGCACATCCCTGGGAATTCAATCTGGGGTGGGAAGAACCTCAATCCCATGATTTGGAGGATAAAGAGCTGCCTCAAGTGCCACCCTTGGGGTTCGTTCCCTGTGCCCTGTCCCCAAAGAAATAAATTGTCTTTTCTACAAACCCTCTTGCTCTGTTATGTCCTGCTTGGTGCTGAATGGGCTCATTGAAATTCATTGAAATTTCCTTTTTTTTTTGTTCTTTCCTTTTTGAAAAATTTTTTAAATTTTTTAAATTTAAATTTTAAAAATATTTTAAATTTAAATTTTTAAAAGTTTATAAATTTCAATTTAAAAAAATATTTTAAATTTAAATTTTTAAAAAATATTTTAAATTTAAATGTTTAAAATATTTTAAATTTAAATTTTTAAAAATATTTTAAATTTAAATTTTTAAAAATTTTTTAATTTAAATTTTTTAAAATTTTTTTTGAATTTAAATTTTTTTTTAATTTTTTTAATTTAAAATTTGAAAATTTGAAATTTTTAAATTTTAATTTTTAAAGCCCCCTCCCACTCCTCTTTCCAAATTCTGATTTGGTTATTTAAGGGACTCTTCCCACATCCAGGCCTTGTTCAGCGCTGGGCACTCACAGAGCTGTAAATCTTTGTAAAATAGGATTATTTTATAAACTGTGAGTAGAAAACCACCGACTTTTTTATTAAAAATGGACAATAAAAAACAAGACGGACGGTTAAGAACTGAAATGTGTTGATTTCTTTGAATCAAACCAAGACTATACCGGGGGTGTGTGTGTGTGTGGAGATTATTATTGTTGTTTCAAGCCCCTTATTTTTCATCTCAGTGGCTCATTCACACCCTCGGGGACAATTCCGGCCTCTCCATAAGTTTGCTGAGCAAAAAAGTCTTTTCCCTTTCCCTCTGGCACCGCTGGAAACGCGAGGAGGAATTTCCCACCCCGAGTGGAATTTCCCACCCCGAGCATCCCGCGTTGGAGCAAATTCCCGGAGGAATTTCCCACCCCGAGCATCCTGCAGGAGAATTTCCCACCCCGAGCATCCCACGTTAGAGCAAATTCCCAGCGAGTGAGGCCGAGTCAAACCAGGTCCCCCGGCAGCCAAAGGGGCCAGACAACGATTAGCGAGGCTGCGGAGGGCATCGATCCCTTAAATAGCTGCAGGGGGGGCTGTGGCTCCGGCGGGACCCGCGGGTGTCCCTCCCGTTCCTGCCATCGACAGCAGGCGGGATTAAAGCCCCGCAGCAGCGAGATAAATAAAAATCAATTCCTGTTTATTAGCGAAGCTTGTTGGGCTCGGCAGGGGAACAAATCCCAGGGCGCCGCGGTGGGAAGGGCTGGAGGAGCATTTCTGGAGGAAGGGCAGGGAGAACAGGCACAGGGAGCAGCAGGAGGCAAAAGGGGGCTCGGGAGGTGGGGGATCATCCTGGAAAGGGCCAAATCCCACCCCAGAGAGACCCTTTTCTCCCTCCTCCCTCCCCTTTGCTGCACAGCAAAGCATTTTGCCATATGGATCCTCATCTCCCCGACAGGAAAAGGGGGAATGGATTCAAACTGGAAAAAAAGTAGGTTTGGGTGGGATATTGGGAAAAAATCCCTCTCTGTGAGGGTGGTGAGGCCCTGGCACGGGTTGCCCAGAGAAGCTGTGGCTGGTCCATCCCTGGGAGTGTCCAAGGTGAGGTTGGAGCAACCTGGGATAGTGGAAGGTGTCCCTGCCTGTGGCAGGGGGTGGAACGAGATGATCCTTAATATCCCTTCCAACCAATCCATGATTCCATGATTCTCCTGTCCTCACTCCCCATTTAAATTCCCTGTACCCTTTCCAAACCCAAACTGAACCAGCTCACTCGAAGGGGATTGTCCTTTACTAAAACAAAACCTAAAAAATTTGGGAGTGAATTGCAAATGTTTTATTTGCAAGCAGGAATTTCTAAAATCAAGGAATTAAAGATGCCGCGGATTAATTAGGGGCCAGGCTCTGGTTGTTTCCCGTTGAGTGGCAAATCCAAACCCGCCTCTCCATCAGAGCCCTCATAAATATTCATCCAATAAACAGCAGATCGGGGGCCACCACAGAGACAAGAGAGACTGAAACCCAAAACCGCTGGAAAACATCCAACCCCGTCCCAAATCCCAAAAAAACCCCCCCCGCTGCTGGGAGAGGGGAAGGAACAGCCCGGCTGAGCGTTTGTCTCCGTTTCTGGGGAGATTCATCCCCGGAGGAATCCAGGTTGTCCAAGCCCTCCGGGACGTGCTCCAGCTGTGCGGCACATCTGGGGCCGCCGCCCGCCCGCGCAGCCCAGTCCAGCCCTTCGCTGCCGTTTTCCCCACGAGAGGGAGCTGCCAGCCCGTGGAATTCCCTCTTCCAGCCAGGCCGCTGCGGCGATATTCCCGATAAACTCAGTTTTCCCCCTGGAAAAGGGCTGGAGGATCCCGCCAGGGCTGCTTTGGGGGAGGGAGGGAAAAGGGTGAACCCCCTTCGTTCGACCCCTTCCCACCTCTGGGATGGGAAGGCACCGGGAGAAGGGAAACTGGGGCCCAGAGGTTTCCTGCAGGGACACAAAGGGCTGGACCAGGGAAAAGCCAGTTCCAGGAGGGAACGAGGGCTGGAGCTGAGCTGTGGCCCTGGAGCAGGAAAACACCAATTCCCAGGACAGAGCGAGGGCTGTGGAGGCTGCAAAGCCTCTGCTGTGCCTGCAGAGTGTCCTGGGCATCCCAGGAGGATGCAGAATCCCCCACAAGCCTTGGGGGTCCTCAGTCTTGCACCCAAAGTGCACGTCCCAGGCAGGGGTGGCTGAGGAGGGGACGGAGCAGGAGCTCCAGCACAGCCAGGACACTGATCCAGCTGATCCCACGGCCTCCCAAAAAGTGCTGACTGCAGTGGTGAACGAGCTCTGCCCTGGCAAAGGGCAGCTTTGACCTTCCAGAGGCTCCCCAGCACATGCCATGGCACCAGCACTGGGTGCTGAGCCATCAGAGCCTGGCAAAGCCACTGCCTGGGAGGATTAAGAAGAGCAGGATTTAATTAAAATGCCAAGGAAGAGCTGTCTGAGGCCTTTGCTCTTTTCTCTCCCATCTGCTCGTGCTTTTTGAGGCTGCTGGGAGCCAGCCCAGGTCCTTGTCACCTCAGCCAGTCCCTGTCCCCAGTTGGTCCAACCTGTTTTCAAAGCAAAGACGTGTGGAATCTTTTGAAATTCTCACCAGGGCTTCAAGAACCTGCTCCCACATCGATCCCTGCAGCTACAAAGGGTCTGGGAACACCAAGGTGTGGAGTCCAGAACCATCTCTGCTTTTCAGGGATGGGAAAGGCAAAAGGGAAAAGTGAAAGGGAATCAAGAGAGACCCCTTAGGGTTTGCAGGACCCTGCCAGACGTGCTGAGGCTCCTGCAAGGGCTCTGCTTCCCTTCCCACCTCCTTTGAAAGCCGTGGGGAAAAAAGAGAAAAGGAAGAAGCAGTTTGATTTCTGTGGCCTGGAATCATTAAGTTCCAATTTCCACTCTCCCAGGTTGCTCCAAGCCGGCCTTGGACACTTCCAGGGATGGGGCAGCTCTGGGAAACTGTGCCAGGGCCTCCCCACCCTCCCAGGGAAGGATTTCTTCCCAATATCAGGACTAAACCATCTCATGGACCACCCTCAGACCCCACTGCCTTCTCCTTGTTTGTCCATGGTCACCCACCAGCATCATCCTCACATCCCACCCCAGGTGACATTTCCCTGGCACAGGGGCCACCGAATGTGCCCCCGGGGCAAGGCTGGCACATGAATAATTCAGGAATGACATCAAAGTTTCCTTGAGCTGCTGCATTGATTAGACCAAATTGCCTCCCTCACCCTCGAGGAGGTGAAGATGAGCTAATCACCGTTTGTTCTCTCTGGATAGATGATTAACCACAAATTAGAATATTAAACAGAGGACTTGGGGTACGTAAATTAAGGGCTGAGAACTGAGTTAATTATTGGAGGAGCCATAAAACTGCTTATTTTTAATTCTTGCATTATTGTTTGATTTTTTTTAATTTTTTTTTTTGCCTCTTTTGGAGAGGGAGTTCTTTTTAAAATGGTTTGTTCTGCTGTTGTGGCTGTAGGAGCTGGGACACAGAGGGTAAATGACACCAATTTGAAGGCACGGCCTCACTTTGCCCTCCCTAACTCAGTTTTCCAACCACCAATTTAAGAACCACAGGATATTTTGGGTCAGAAGGGACCTTGAAGATCATCCCCTGCCATGGGCAGGGACACCTTCCACTATCCCAGGTTGCTCCAAGCCCGGTCCATCCTGGCCTGGGACACTTCCAGGAGTGGAGCAGCTCCTCTGGGAATTGTCCCTGAGCCAGATGCTGTGCAAGGAGCTCCTGTTCTTCTCTGAGCCCAATTAGTGGTGCCAACAGCGACAGTGGTGGCACCAGGCCACCAGCACAGAGAGTCCTGTCCCCTCCTTCCCGGGGTCCTGCCACGGTGCTCCCACACCCGGCAAAAGGGGGAAAAGGAGCCGCTGACAAAAGGCTGATTTAATTACTGGAATTGTTCTGATTACAGCCTGCAAACACTGTTATCTTGTAATTATTGCCAAGAACATGCCATTAGCACATGATTAAACACAACGTCTTGTGGGCTGCTGCTGATTGTCTGATGCCTTATGAACTTAATTACTTCGTGCTGATCGAGAGCAACTGCGGGGATGGAACGGGGCAGTGGCTCCAGAGAGGGGAGCTGGGGCCCCTCAGCTCCTTTTCCAGGTGCTTGGCCTCAGCCAAAACCCAGCCAGGGGCAGGATCAGCACCTCAGTCCAAGGTGCCAGGACAGGAAGCTCTTGCTGCCCATGGAGTGCCACCAACTGCACCCGACCCCCAGAGCTTCCAGGCTTTTCTTTCCTGGGTTTGGTGCCTCTTGTCCCAGGTTTAAACTCAGCCCCCTGGAGCTGCCAACACACACAGGGCACCAGCCTCCTGCCCAGGGCTCTCTGAAAGTTCAGGGGTGTCCGTTCAGCAGAGACAAACCCAGAGGTTTGTTGGGTTTGTGCAGATGGGAAGGTGGTTTTGGGGGTGCCTGAGGGGGTCACGGGACAGCCCCACGGAGGGGTGGGTGGATTTGGGATGCTGATCCCCCACTCCTCACATGCAGTCCCAGGACATGCCCTGTGTCCTGGCAGGCAAAGTGAGGGGGTCCCTGCTGTTGGGGGGTGAAGGTCCT